AGAGAGAGAGAGAGAGAGAGAGAGAGAGAGAGAGAGAGAGAGCACTTCGCCACGCCGGGCGAACCCACGCACATCGGTTTTGGGCCGATTGTGAACAAACTCTCCACCTCCCACCCACAACACCGGCACACACACACACACACACACAGAGAGAGAGAGAGAGAGAGAGAGAGAGAGAGAGAGAGAGAGAGAGAGAGGGAGGGTGCACTTCGCCACGCTACGCGAACTCACCGATTTCCGTTTTCGGGCGAGTGTGAGTGGAACTCTCCACTTCTTCACGACAAACACCGCACACACACACACACACAGAGAGAGAGAGAGAGAGAGAGAGTCGCTCCAATGCCTCTAGCTCAGTGGGCACACCCAAGAACTGTTGAAATGCACACCTGAGTTCGAATCGAGATGTGAGGGAGTACTCCTGAACTATGAGGGCCCGCTTAGTTGGACCCCCCCCCCGCCACGGCAGTAACGAAATGAAAACCTAAAAGTCTTGGGAATCTTGCATCTGTACCCCGCTTAAAGATGGGAATAGCCGCTATACCCTGTCCCAGTCCCAACTTGGACCACAACCCGGAAAATTATCGTTGAAATTTATCTGCATGCCCAGCGGCCAGGACTGACATGGACCCAAGTCTGTGGCCCAAATTCCACGTATAACCAACGACCGGAATGAACAATTTATGTGGACCGGCCAAATTATTCAAGACCACCCTATCAAATGGCTGAAACAACGGTCATACCCAGCAGCCATCGGGCCACAACAATCCACGTGGTGGCCATGAGCATAATTTCATGGTCCTCCATCCAAGGCCCACCACTGGGTGTGGGTACACCCACAATTTTGCCCGCCCGTTTCTGGGCATGAGCGTAATTTTCTGGTCCGGAACCAATCGCCTGCAGGACTATGTATGCCTACAATTTCGCACAGGGGCAAAGTTGGGCAATATGTTCGCAGCCAGAGGCTTAACTCGGTTGTCTTTTGTGGTTTTGTCTTTCGTCGTTTTGTGTAGGTTTCTTTTTCGGGAAATGTAGACGACTTCAAATGCGGTTTGGCGGGGTCTTTTCGGGGTTTAGGGAATGGTGGCAAGGGTGCGGTCGCGGCTAGGAGACGGACCGGTAGTGCGAGCGGTCGTGGCAGGCTTTGGGGAGTGTACGTCCAGAGGTCGTTTCATTTGGTCATTTGGCCTTGTGGTGGACCGCGGCCAGTTTCTTTTTTGGGTGGAGGGTTGAGTCTTTTTTTTGTCTTTTGTTGGGGGCTGTTCGGTGGTTCTTTTCTGGGGACTGGTACCGTATGGACTTGTAAGAGAGAGATGGATGGGAAGAAGTAGTAGCGGGGCGTCATTGACAGAGATAGAGACGAGACGACTCAAGTGATTTGGCCCCTTGAGTTGAAAGGACGTGGCGGTCCGCTATTTTTTTTTTTTTTTCTGAATCTTTATGGAATTTTTTTTTTTCCCCCCTGAATCTTTATTTGGAACACGTCTAGATTCTGCGAAAGAAACTGAAGTCTGCCAGCCTTGGATTAGACGAATGCCAACTTCCTTTTTTTTTGCGAATACTGAATCTGGACATCTTCCAAATAAAGATCCAACACATTCAATTCTCAATTCGAATCGTCTCATTGAGGGTGGTGTCGATGATGACTCTCGACGGTTCTGTCGACGACTCGACCTTGGGCTCGGACCCACTAGCCAAGTCTTTTACGATGTGTGACGCATATTCGGCCTTTTTTTATTGCTTTATAATAGTTTCTCGGATTTTTTTTATTTTTTTTTTAAACAACGGTCTGTATGCCATCGCCCTGGATCCACGGCGTGGTCCCTGAAAATTCGTGTCAGGTATGAGTGCTTCGCCACCTCGTACGTTCGTCCAGTTTGCTGAATTCAGTGTGAGTGTCCATCGACCTGGACCCCACGTGCGGCTATATTCATGAACGTGCCTCCCTCCTTCCCGAGAGGGACTTGGGCAGAAGTGGAACCACACGGTTTCCATTTCGGGATGTTGGCCTTCCTCAGTCAAGGAACATGGCTGTATAGCTCCGGTTAGGCTGATGAGGGCTTCAGACGTTGGGCTGGCGGTTGGGCAAGTCTTGGGGCCCATCCAACGTGCAGCGGATTCACGCATGTATGCTTCGTCACATGTGTGCTCCTCGCTAGCACAAATGTTGGGTTAGGTTAGTTACAACTATTGGGGTGCCTCCCTTGGGTTCAGTTAGTTATTTTCCCTGGGGTGCGGGGTGGGCAGTGCAAGCGGGGCGGGGGGGGAGGGGGGGGGGGGGGGGGGAAAGGGGGGGGGGGGGGGGGGGGGGGTGGGGGGGGGGGGGGGGGGGGGGGGGGGGGGGGGGGGGGGGGGGGGGGGGGGGGGGGGGGGGGGGTCAGTGTGGGGGGGGTGCTTGTTTTCTTGCTGGCCACACGAGCCAAAAAAAAGAAATAGCATCCTGAACTGCATTTGGAGTTCAAACTGTGCGTATATGCCGTGTAGCAATGCCGAGGCTGAAGAGGAGAGAATGGGAGAGAGTGGCTGTGGCCGCCATGGCCATAGCAGGCCGCATGGCAGAAGACGCCATGGCCATGGTGGATGTCATCCTTGGTCATTCAACGACCGATTTGCTTGCTTCAGTCCCTGCATCTCACGCGTTGCTTGGTGGGGCCCCACAAAAGGTTAACGGGGCATCTGGTTTTCAGGCTTGAAATTTCTGAAATTAGGGTTTGGGGCTCAAATTTCATGTTTTTTTGGAATTTCAAGTTTTTGCTATATATGCATTTTGATAGGGTTGCCGTATATGAAATTTGGGGTTATTTGGAGTTTTAGAATTTGGGTGCTCGGTTAACCTGCTCTCTGGGGCCCATGACGATGAGGATGATGGCAGGCCCGGCAAGCACAGTCTCATGTAGCTATGGCCTGCCATTGTGGACATGCTCAATCTCATGCCCAGAGCCTCGCCAAGGTGGTGGGTAATGCGTCGAAGTGGCGGGCTTTGGAAGGACCTGCTTCCCGAAGACGACACAGAGAATGACCATTACGTTTCTCTCATTCGTATGCGTCGTTCGACATTCAACAGGTTGCTGCGGAAGGTCGGCCCGCTTCTAGAGAAGCAGGTCACAAGGTTCCGTGTGCCGTTGCCGCCTGCACAAAAATTGGCATATGCCAT